TGAATACCAAAGCACATTAGGAAAATCAACATTTATCAAATGTGAGTCAAAATTTCTTCAAATAACTTTGTTGTCTTTTATCTCAATGCATATAACAAGAAACGAAAACAGTAAAACTGTAGATAGGAAAAGAATATATATAATTCATTGAGTCTGCAATATTTTATTTACCATAAAACCAGATGAGATATAATCGTATAGCAAATGCTTCACGTCCATTTTTTTCTAACATGACACATTTCACTGGACTTGATTATCATTTCATTCAGTCGTTTTCTCTCCCACGGAATCTTTAAACATGTACTAAATAATGCACTGAACTGAAAAATGGTTAGCAAAAATAAAGTTCATTTTTTATAATCAATGTACTTCTTTGCTTAGGCGCATGATAATATTCACATATTTTATATTTTCCTTAACACTAGATAAAATGTTTTTCCTTCAAAATATCTGCGCGGCGCATGAAATCCATTAAATTCTTAGAAAACTATATATTTACGTGATAAAGCACACGCCTACAGGATGTCACTACAGGAGCTCATCATGCCTTTGTACTTCTTGGAGACACGAAGCTTCTTGGGCACATATTCCTGGTCAACTTCCATCTCGTCATCGGCCTGCTCGCCCGCGCCCTCGACGTGGGCGTGGTGGTACAGTGACGCACTTTTCGGCACACCCGCGTCCTCCTCCTCCTCTTCCTCTCGCATGGGCCTACGGACAGGCTCGAAGGCGTGGAACCTCGGCGACTCCTCCAGGCCGGGCGATCCGTAGCCCGAAGACGCACCGGAGTCATGGTGGTCGTTCTTGGGCGTCTGCGCTCGGACGGGAGAGTGAGCGTGGGTGGCAGGGCTCTGCGGGTGCTGTGGGGAGCTGAAGGAGCTGTGAATCTGGGTCATGGGCGAGAGGGGCGCCGTCGGAGACTCAGCCTGGGCAGGCAAGGGCGAGCGACATCGCGGGATGGACAGGCTGGTAGGCGGCGACAAGATCGGAGACTGGGCATGCATGAGTGCCTGCAGGGACGTGTGCATGTCGACTGAAGGGTACATGGTGACCGGGGACTGTGCATGGACGAAGGATGGGCTGTTGGCATGGATGGGCGTGGGTCTCTGGATTCCCGTGGGCGTTATACTAGTGAAAGAACCACACACTCGGGAGGCATCCGGAGACAATGACTGGGGCGAAGACACTGGCAGGCGGAACAGACCTGTGGGATAGAAAAATGAGAATTAAATAAAAAATCACTTATGGGTATTTCTTGTATCTGATCTAAAATGTAACCACCGTTTGATATACAATCGAAAAGAGATGGAAGGGAATCTAGGACAAATAACTCACCGTGAAGACTGCCCGGGCTGGTCTGGATGGGCGTCGGCAGGGGCGTGGAGCTGATGGGAGGCTTCAGTTCAACCCTGTCCTTCTCTTCCTTTACGTCGTCGGGCCGCGGGTCGTCGCCCAGCAGAGCGGACACGCTGAAGCCACGTCGCGGCCCCTGCTTCTTTGGGGTGACGACTTCGGGGAGGAAGTCCGCCGTCTGACCCTCCGGGTGGCTGGTGACCTGTTGGGCCTTCTGCAGGAGGTGCTGCGGTAGAGCGGGGGCGGAGGGAGCGGGCGGCGTGTGTGGGGTGAGCACAGGCCAGGCTGGCCATGCAGGCGTGGGCGCCCCGGGAGTGGAGTAGAGGTGAGGATGGTGATCAGAAAACAGGGGCAGGACCGGGCGTGGTTGGGCGGGCAGGAGGCCACTGCGGAAATTCATCGCGGGCGAGAAAGTGGCGCTAGGCTGAGACAGTTCTGGCAGGAAGCCTCCCTCGAGGAGATGCTGAGGCAAAGGCGCCCCATCCTTACGATGCACGCGCATGTGGCGCTCCAGGTTGCTCTTGTGGCTCGTCTCGTAACCGCAGAAGTGGCACGAGAACTCCTTGAAACCAGAGTGGACGGAGTAATGGCGCTTCAAGAGTGCCTTCCGGCAGAAGACGCGGCCGCACACGTCGCAGTGGTACCCATCGCGGTGGAACTTGTGTGTGTGCATCCTCAGCTCGGCCTTGTTGAGGAAGCGGAGGCCGCAACACTCCAGAAGCGCCGGGGAAAGTTCGTGCATCGTCAGCGTGTGTCTCTTCAGATTGTTCTTGCGGTCTGTGCGGTACGAACACATCGTGCAGGCGAACACTCGGCCCTTGCCCTCTTCGCCGTCACTTGGCTGCGGGGAAGTGCAGCCTTCGGGAGACATCGCCGGGGTATCCACACTTGATTCCACCAACATCACGAAATATCAGGAAATTCTTCTGGCAACGGTGGGGAAGCGTGCACCCTACAAGAGAACCGAAGCTGCAGCGGTGTTGTCACGGTGACCCGGCAGGAGCGGCCAGACAGGCAGGCAGGCAGAGGTCCCGTGCGTCCTGTCCGAGGGCTGTCCCGACAGTGTGATGAGAGTCCGCGCGTGGGTGGGAGGCGTCACACACCGTCACAGACAACCGTCACACACCACTGGTCACAGCACACGCTC